CACCTCCACTGGCCGTAAAAGGTTCCTGAAAAGGCCTCGAAGAGGACCACGAACCACTAGTTGATAATCACTGTTGTAGCTTGTTTTGAGGCTCTGAACACGTTTTATTAGTGAGAAGTAGCAGAAGTGGCTCTCTTGATCATAAAGGTTGCAGATCCCTGGGTTAGCTAAACATTTGAGAGAAAAAGTGAGTTTTTAGGAGTGACTTGAAAGAGACAATGTTATCAAGGGAGCGCAGATTTAAAGGGAGTTCATTCCAGAGCCTGGGGGTCCACAGAGGAGAAGGACCGGTCACCACGGGTCTTAAAGTGAGTGAGGGGAACCATAAGGAGGTGTTGATCCTGTGAGCGGAGGTCCCGTCTGGGGTTGTAAGGTGAAASGAGACTTTGAATCTATCCTGGGGCCATGAAGAGCTCTGAAAGTGAGGACCAGGATTTTAAACCAGATCCTGAAATTAACCAGATTCTTAATTAATGCTTTCAGCATTAATTATTAATTATTAATGATTAAAGCACAAAGAAAAGTTGGTGATAATTCTGTTTTAAATTAAAGAAGCAAAAGAAGCAGATCTTTATTTCTAAAGACGCTCTTTCAAATTAGTTGAACTTTCAGTGCGTTTAGTCAGAAGCTGCAGATTTTTAACCGTAATTTMCTGCTCTTTTCTCATTTAAAGTGCATTCATGAACAAAAACACCCTACATTTTCCTTTGAACTGTTTTTTTAATACGTCCAAGGCTTTACGTTACAAATTAGGAAAAGTTTTGAGCATTAAAGACAATTTTTTTTATTTATCCAACGCCAAACAGACAAAAAAACATTTTTTATGTTGGTATTTTAGCGTCTCTTATCTTTTACTGCTGATCAGTTATATTTATTTATCTTAATCAGTTTGTAAATGGTCTCTACTTCTATCCATGCAGGTATACTTAAACTCTTCATTTATACAACATGTACAATCATGTATGGAGGCTAATCAGTGCCAAAAACATTCATACACTGATGGGACACACATCAGAGGCATTAGGGGTGAAGTGTCTTGCCCAAAGACACAACTGAAACAGCTGGAACAGGGTGTCGAACCAACGACCGGCTCTTCCAGGATGACTATAAAAACCACTCTGCCACAAGCTGCCTGTAGAAATGAAAAAGATCAAATTAAATTTAACGTTTGTTGATYAATCCAGTTCAGTTTTTGAATTATTTCCAGTTTTATATGAATATTTATTTGAACAGGCAGGTTAAAGTGTCTCACAAGAGTTAATTTTTCTTCTTTCACACCCAGTTTAAAGACGGTTCATCGGTTCATTTTAACAAGTTTCCTCTTTGTTTGAAAACAGTTTTATTCTTTATTTAACGATCAAGTTTTAGGTCTAATATTTACATAACGTTACTGCGTTTGCTGCGTTTTATAGTATTTTTAACTTGATTTGTTGCTTTTATTTTTATTTTCTGACTGATTTGTTCTCATTTAAGACTCGGACTCAGAGTTTTAACCCTTTGAAACCCTCTGAAATAAGAACYGAGCAGTTTTTCAGCATTGCAGTAAATAAAATCACTAGAAAAGGTTTAAAATTGMATAAAGTAAAAGCCTCAGGATTATTGTTTCATTGTGTTTTATTTGAAACTCTGCGCTAAAGAGACAATTAAACAGCTTATTTTTTCTGTTCTTGTGCTGGATTGGACTAGAATCACATCTTTTACTCACAGTTTGGAAAATATGTCTTTAAATAATCATTTTATACGTTTTTCATCTTTATGTAACCCAACAACATTTAAATTTAACAGATTTTTTCTTGCTTTTAAAGTGATCTTTGTTAATCAGAAAATGACAAAAAATAAAAATAAAAATTATGACAAGCATTAGGATCTGAAAACCAACAAAYCTTATCATTTTATAGTGAATTTGAAGATAAACCAGAAGATGAACCC